TGGTGCCAACAGTCCCCTTCTAAGAGGGGTGACCACTGCATGAAGATCAAGTCAGGGAGTGAGGATGAAAAAGCTTTTAGATTTTGGAATCCTGGATCCTGGCTTCGGTACCCTCTAGTTCTGTGATACCGGACAAGTCACAGACATGCACCGAGCCCTTAGTAACCTCATCTGTAAAATGGAGACCATATTTTACCTAACTCAAAGGACTAAGTGATGATGAAATTATGAAACACATACACATCACGCACACACACACGCACACACACACGCACACGCACACGCACACACACACACGTACGCACACACACGCGAGCACGCGCACGCACTCCTAGCATATCTGCCAGGTACATGGTAGGCACTTAGTAAATGTACCCTTCTTTAACCTTCTCTTACCAGGAACTTATGCAATTGTCCTACTTTCAGTACTTTCTTTCTTCATTCAATTAGTCATCAGGGTCGAGCTCAGTCTGGAGCTCGGTGTGTGATTAGGGCTCAGTCTATGACCAGAGTCAGGGCTCAATGCATGACCGAGGTCAGTCTCAGTCAGGGGCCAGGGTCAGGGCTCTCAGGCTGATCCGAGAAAACCAAAGATCCTCTGAGTGTGACTGACTGGCCCTGATCTGTGCTCTGCCCTGCCCACTGTGCCCGGGGCCAAGCCTTCCCCAGGCACCTGGAGGAAGCAGCACTTCCCCTGCAGGCCCTGGCTCCGGCCCTGTTCCTTAGCTGAGGGCAGCCAGCAGTCAGAGAAGTAGCTGCCAACTGGCAGCCCAGCCATCAACCCTTTGGCCAAGGGTCCGAACCCTACAGGCTGTCTCCCAGCTGGCCCCGTCCCCACACCCAGCCTGCTGGGGCACCCCCAGACTGTCAGGGCCACTGCCTTCCTGGTCCCTGCTGTGCTCTGATTGGCAGGCCTCTCCGTGCCAGGCTGCGAGGCAGGTGCTGGGCACTGCTCAGGCCCAGATCGGTCAGGGGAGACCCGGGACCTGGGCACCGGCCCAGCAGACCTGGGTGTGGAATCCGTCTTGCATGTAAAGCTGGGGCTCTTATAATTTCTAAAGCACTGAGACTGATTCCCAGGTCAGAGCACAAACCAGCCTGGCAAGCCAGGAACAGCATGGAGACCAGAACCGACATGCTGGCCACAGGAAGACCGGAGACTCAGAGAGGGGCAGGGACTGGCCTGAGGTCACACCGGGAGTCAGGGGCAGTGGGCCGGATTCTGGGTTTTCCTAACCCCATTTTGGCTTCTCTCCACTGCCCCATGGCTTTCTTCTGATCGACCTTGTGTGCCCACTGTGGGCGCTAAGGATAGATACCCCTCACTCCGTGTCATGCTTTACACCTGTCAGCGTCTCCCACGGGGCTCCGGCCTCTGCACAGCCCTCCCAGGCAGGTTCCCAGGTGAGGTACTGGGGCTCTGAAGCGAGAAGTAACTTTTCCAAAGTCACAGAGCAAGCTAGAAACGAGGCCGGATTCATTCAACAATTATTTGCTGACAGCTTTCTATGTTCCAGGTACTTTGTTAAACAGTGGGGGTAGGATGGGGAGCAAAATAGACCTGGTGGTCACTTGTGGAACTAGAGGGGCACCATGGGGGTGGGCACTGAGGAAGAATATGCCAGTGATCCCATAAAAGCACATCAAACACGTGGATCTGCATCTGTGGCCTGCAGAAGCGTGCAGTCCTAGGAAAGTACCGAATGCGGGAAACTTTGGCCTGGTCTGGGAGGTCAGGGAGGGCTTCCTTGAGGAGGTGATGAGAGCTGGGATCCAAAGAGGGGAGGGGAAGGGAGAATGTTCTGGGGGAGGGAGCGTGAAAGGCCTAGGGTGGGGGGGAATGGGGTCTGCTCAGAGAATGGAGAAACACCTGGTATGGCTGGAGCCCAGAAAGGGAGGGGCGGGCAAGGATCCAACCATGCTGGGCCTGGAATCCTCTTTACCCTGGGAGCAATGAGAACCCTGGGGGTTTGAAAAGGGGCAAGATCAGATGTGCTAAGAAGAAAACAGTGCAGTAGCCTAAGGTCAGGGAGATGGCAGAGATTGGCAGTCAGATTTCAGAGATAGGAGACGCACTGACAAGCCAGGGATGGAGTGGAGGGGGGCTGCGGGGTGAAAGAATGTGGTCACCCACACCAGGATGAGGATGAGGCCACGCAGAGCGTACAGAGGAAAAGGAGTGACTAGGGTTGAAAGCGGGGACAGGCCAGCATCACTAAAGATGAGACGCCCAGTGGACATAGGGTGAGGCATGGCCGTCACCTTAGAGAAAGCGATTTCAGTGGAGTAGCGGGGGCCAGATTGGAAGCAAGGTGATGGCCCCAATGGGAAGAGGCAGAATCACAAGATGAGCCACAGGGACTTCTTGGTCTGGGACAGTCGCCAACTAGAGGTGTGCCCTATTACTAGGCGGGCTGGAGCCTGCACAAGGAGGGACATGATCCGGCCCCCAGCTAGGGAGTCCCCATCGTTAGACCTGGGACTCTCTTCAGCTCCCTACTCGTGGGTGGAATGAGTAAATGGCTCTGGGGTACTCTCAGGCCTAGGCTTTAACTCCTACCCCACCACTGTCCCCATAGGTCTGCCTGCTGGGGATGCAGCACGGCCCAGGCAGAGGGGAAGGAGGCTGGGACAGGAATCCCCGCAGGTGAGACACCCGGGGAGGGCAGAGAGCAGGAAGCTCAGCCGGGACACCAAGCTGAGGGAACCAGAAACACAGGCAAGAGAGAGATGAGAAAAAGTGTTTTGAAAGAAGATGAAAGATTAGTAATATTAATCTATATTCGATACACTTGAAGCATTGCAATATTCATCATGAGAAAAAGGAGCATGGGTGGGACTGGCTTCATCTGTGCTTGTGGTCTGCTTTGTTACCGGGCATGTGGAATCAGGACATCCAGGGCATGCCAGATTCTTCCCCCCGGCTTCTGGCTTCCGAGGGTCTGGGTCCTCCCTCTAGGGTTCCTGCCCGGGGCTGGGGGCTCGCTGTGAAAGCCCCTTTCAGGTCCCTGACAGCTGGGCCTGCATTCTCCGAAGCCCTCCCTTCTGCTGTCATTTGCATCTCATTAGCACCCCCGGGGGCTGGTGGCCCCTGAGCCGCCTGGAGCCCAGAAACCCGGGCTGCAGGCTGAGCCGGGCCCTGCAACCGGCCCCCTCCCCGGGGTGGAGATGGGTGCGGCCATGCGCTCGCCCCGCCGCCCCCACACCCCTCACCCAGGCTCCGGCCGGCTGGGCTCCCGCTGCGCGTTCCCATGGCAACCGGGGGGGGGGGCCCCGGCGCGGGTCCGGGTGCCTGCCGTGGAGCAACCCGGCGCGCCCCGCTCCCCGCCCCGCCGCCCAGGCTGGCTTGGTGATAGGCAGGGCCTCAATCTCCCGAGATGATCGGCGATAATTGGTTTATGGAAATAGCTGAGGGGAGAAGGCGAGCTCCCTGCCAAGCCCACTCTCGGCCACCTGTCCTTCCTCACCGGGGACATGGAGTTGGGGGAGGGGAGGGCCAAAGAGCTGGGTGGTGGAAATGGGCTTTTGAGACAAACAAGTGTCCCACCTGTTGGTCTCCAGCACACCATCTAGCCTCCTTTCAACCGTGTGGGGGTGCCGGGGTTGTCGTCCTAGTGACTGGCTGTCTCAGTGGCTCAGCCCGGCTCCTTAAGCCACTCCTTATGCCTCAGTGGCACCCCTAAGCTTGGGCTCAGGCCTATGCCGGGAGTCTTGTGGGGGAAATGGAGGAGCGGGATCTGTGCTCTGGAACCCCACCCAGTTTGGGCACAGAAGAGCAGCGCATGACTGTATCTATGTAAAGTGCATCAGCCCTCAGAGTTGTCCCTGCTGTGTGGCTCCAGAGGAGGGAGAGCTCAACTCTGGTGGCTGCCTGGAGGAGGAGGAGCCTTCGAGGCTTTGGAGGTGAGATTTCAGCAGGTGTTGGGAGAGGGCAGGGGCAGGCACTCCCCCAAAAGGAAATGTGGGCCAAAGCCCGAGGCGGGCACTGAATGACTGCTGGAATTCGTAGAGGCGGGGAGGTGTAGAGTAGCTTGTGGGGGGACTTCCACTGTTGACAGAGGGGCTCAGCTTGTGGGAGGGCTTACCGCACAGTGCCTTGTCATCAAGGTCGAACGCATGTCCGGCATCCCTACCGAAGGCTGGCTGGCTGGACACCGTGTCGCCCCTTGCTGCCCTTCTGGAGGACTGAGGCCCGTGAAGTGGGCAGCAGACACGGGACACGGCAGGGCAGGCGTCACTCAGGCACCAGGCTGTGAGAAGTGTGCTCCCTGACTGCGGCTGGCCGGCGGCGGGCGTGGGGTGCATTAAAGGACCAGAGCTAGCGAATCCCGCATGAGAGAAATGACCCAAGAAATGGCGGGGGCCGAGGACGAGGGCGATCGTGAGGACCTACCGCAGAAGTGGACTTGGCGGGGGTGCTGGGTGGCTCAGTTGGTTAAGCGACTGCCTTCGGCTCAGGTCATGATCCTGGAGTCCCGGGATGGAGTCCCGCATTGGGCTCCCTGCTCAGCGAGGAGCCTGCTTCTCCCTCTGACCCTCCCCCCTCTCATGTACTCTCATTCTCGCTCTCTCAAATAAATAAATAAATCTTAAAAAAAAAAAAAAAAAAGAACTGGACTTGGCGGGATCGGGCACCCAGAGGCCAGGAGAGGCAGGCTCGGGTCTTCTTCCTCTGACCACCATCCCACTGGGAGCCCAGCCCAGGCCTCTGTATACAGAGGCCGTGCGTCCCTAAGGTCAAACTGTGGCCAAGCTGTGGGATCAAGGAGTGGCTCTTCCTTCCTTCCCCAGCCCTGGTGAGCAGCTCCCACACAGCGGGGAAGATGTCAGGCCTCACATGTACAGAGCTTACAGCCCCTGTGTGATTTACACTTGGCTTTCCCCTCTAGGTATCACAGTCCCGCCCCCAAACTTTGGCTGCTGCAATTCCAAATATCCAGACACTGGTTCCTGCTCACAGCCCGACAGCAGCCCCGGCCCTTGCTCCCAGCACTACTTACACTACCACATAGGGCCACGGCTCAGAGTCATCCTTGCAGGTGGGTAGGTTGATGGCCCCGTGGAGAGTGACCATGATGGTCTCCTTATTAGAGGGGGACAGGTGGCTTGTGACAGATTCCATACTCCTGAAGGTGTTCAGGGGCTCCTCTGGGCTCTCAGTGACCTGTGGAGAGAGCCAGGGCTGAGTGGCCTCCTCTGGGGTGGTCAGCTGTCCTTACTGCGTCCCTATTAACTTCAGTCCCTCACTGCTCCCCTCCAAGTACCTTTCCCTCTGTCATCCCCCCACCCAGCTTGGAACTACAGGGCACTTGCCTTTGGCCCCATTTTCTCCCTGCCTTTGTCCCACACCCCCATGTCCGCCCCAACCCTGTGTCACTTCTTGCGGAGACAGGCTCTCACCTCTCAAGTCCAGTCTCACCGCTGAGCCTTTGCTTTTGCAGGTGTTTGCCTCTAATTCCTAAGTCCTGACTGCTTCCGAGGTCCTAGCAGCTGGCCTTCTTCGGTCTCTGTAACCTCAGCCCAGTCCACCTGTCATTTCAGGTCCTTCCCACACACAGCCCTTTACAAAGTTTATCTATATCCATGGAGTCACCCGGTGCATTAACGAAAAGGGCTGAAGGTGTCTGTCCCAGTTGCCCCTCTATCTTCCACCCAGAGAACCCTACAGACCAGGAAGACGGAGTGGTGCCTGCCTGCACATTGGGGCCTCTAGGCTGGTGGCCCCAAGCCCATACACAAGCAGGAGCTCAATAGCTCAACAGCTTGGGGATTCAGGGCCCAAAGGACCATGGTATTGAGAGCTGCCGAGAGGAGACAGAAGCAGCAGTCAGGGGGAAGTCAGGGAAGGCAGCTGGGAAGAGGAGGCCTTAAAGTGTTGGGAAGACATGCACGGCTGGAAGCACAGGCTGGAAGCTAGAGCAAGGCTGCGAAGTGGGGAGGGAACTTCCCACAACTCAGGGCAGGCTCATTTTGATTCTGGAGGCAGGACGAGTCAGGGAGGATGGCAGAGCCAACAGTTTGTGCGTAAACACTGTGGGTTGGGGAGGGGTGTGGACATGTGGCTACTGTGGCTTGGGCTGGTCTTCTGCACTGGCTGGCTGACTCTCACTCCCCGTGCCTGGACTTGACACGGAAAACCCAGATTTACCCTTGCGAGGCCTCATCTGGCAGGAGGGTCCCCCCATCCTTGTCCCTCCTGCTGATTAATCAGCACTAGCTGATGTGAGGGGCCACAGAGGGGCCCTTCTGGCCTGGTGAGGGAAGCAAGGGACCTCCTCAGCTTGGAGATGGGGCCTCGAAGGGTGACTAAGGGTTGCCCTTTTATCTAGAAAGTTAGGCCTGTCAGAACCTGCATTCCAGGGCAGGCCCTGGTAGGGGGAGTCCTCAAAGTGGGAAGTGTCCATGGAGACCGAGAACAAAGTCCTGTGACATGGAGGGGAGACAGAGGCCAGGAAGAGTGAGGACCTGGTTCTGGGGGGCCGGCTTTGGTGCTGGCAGCAATGCCAGCAGACTGGATCCTCTGGCTCAGGCGTGATGAGCACTGAGTGTCAGGAGAGCCGGGTTTAAACCACCTCTGCTCCTCACCATCATGGGACCCGAAGCCAGTCATGCTCCGAGAGTCAGTTTCCCCAACGGGAGGCTGTGGGCTTGGAGCAGCTGGTCTGGAACCTGCCCTGCTCCCTGTGTGAGGGCCCAGGTTCCCCACACATTGTCTGCTCCCACCCTGAGCCTGGGGGTTCTGGGCACAGTGGATCCATCCCTGTGGCTTGCTCCCTCACTTACCACAGGTCTGACGTTATCAGAAAGGCCTTCTCTGTACAAGCTGTGGTCCTTGCCTAACAAGATGACTAATTAGGAGGTGAGAACCCCACCTCCCAGCCCCAGAAGTGCCAGCCCTACAAGAGAGACCCCCCCCGACTGAGGAGCGCCCCCTCCCCAAGACCCAGTGGGGCCTGTCACCATCTGCAGAGGTGTTGAGACTTATCCCTCCCCCTCTCCTCTGTTCCCCTGCCAGGCCAGGGTGGGAGGAGGAGAGGGAGGTCAGTGCTCAGAAGGAACCCCTACCGGATGGGATGGAGGGGGACAGCGGGGGGGGGGTAAGGGAGGGGAAGCAGGCACAGAGCCACCCCTCCCCCTCACAGGTCAGAGATGCTCACTACTCATCCCCCATAACCCACTCCACTCTCCTGCAGGTTTAGTCTCTTGGTTTAGTGGTATAGGAGCAAGACCAGTAGCCTGCGGTGTCGAGAGATATAGGTTTCAGGCGAGCTCTGCCCTAACGCCCTGTGGGGTCTTAATATTCCCGCCTGGTCAGTGGGAATATCTGGGATGGTTTGTAATTCAGTCTTTCCGGTAACAGGCCTAAGGTTCCTGCAGTGAGGCCAGGAGAGACGACTCATGTCTCCCCCGTGCCCCAATTCCTAGGAGCAGCCTAAGATGGTGGGCCCGTGCCCCTGTTGCTATGGGGGTACAGGGCCTGTCCTCAGCTTCCGAGGGCCCCAGAAGTGAGGGCCCAGCAGTGCGGCAGCTGCCCAAGGGCTTTCACTGACTCCCTGGTAAACCCAGAGCCCAACTGGTGATTTTGAAGACCGGGCCCATGAATTGTGCCCCCTCTCTGTCCCCTACCCGCTCTGTGCCTCCCCTTGTGGGACAGCCTTCTGGGAAATAAAGCTTCCAGGGGGGCTGACAAAGACTGCTCATGCTTCAGTTCTGGGCATGAGGCCAGCTGTCAGGCTGGTGCCTCCTGGTGAGGCCTGCAGGCATGTGCCCACTGGGGGGCCAGGGGGGGCCCAAGTGGGAGGCCCGGAGCCGGGGCCATGGGCCAACCTGTCTGCCTCCCCTTTCTGCCTTCCTACGTCTGGATGAGAATCTGCAGGCTTCCCTCAGAGAAGTGCCTGCATCAGGACCAATGCCCGCCCCCGCCCCTTCAGTTTCCCAGCTGCATCACAAAGGTTTTGAGTTATAAAATGGTCCTTCATGTTCCTTCTAGTGTCAGCATCTGAACTTGGTTGGGAGTTATGATGGTCATGGTGGGGCCCTTTCCTAGGTGGGGAAACAGGCTCAGGGAGGCAAAAGCCCTTGTATCCGGGGCACTGGGCTTAGCTAGCAGGCAGAGCCGGAAGGGGGATGGGGTCCATGTCTCCCTCCACTTTGTGTGGTCTCTGCTCTGCTCTAGTAGTGTTCTCTGGATGTGCCAAGCTTTCTATGGCCACAACATACATGCCCTTGGGCTCATGAGCTGGGTAGCTAATACTTGTCAGGACTAGCAGTGGGAGTTGTGGTAGTTGGAGGAGAAGAGGCTTTTCCAAAGATGACACAAAAGTCAGAACTCATAAAGGAAAGGATTGATCGCTTTGATTGCATTAAATATCCATACCAACTTCTATAATAACCCCCAATTCACCAGAATATGAAGAAAAGACGAACAGGAGAAAATATTTGCAATATATATAAAAGAATGAATATCCCTTACACACAGAGAACACTGAAATCTATAAGCATCACCACAATAAGAGACATGGAAGATTCACCAAAGAAATATGAATATGTACTACTCTGTCCACGATACGAACATCCTTCTAGGGGATTCTACTCAGTCATTAAAAATGTTCTGCAAAGTTATGAATGAAATAAAACAAATGTGTCTCCTTCTCAGGGCTCCCATGCATGCTCCTGGGATCCCCAAATCCAGCTTGAGTGGGCAGGTAGGACCAGCTGGCTGCTTAGGGCCTCTAGGTCAGGCAAGTGGGAGGGCCTGGTCCTGAGTGTGTGGCATTCCAGAAAGTAGCTGAAAGGGGGAGGGTGGACTCAAGGGGAGGAGCCAGCTGTGGGTAGAGAACACCAGGAACCAAAGACACCAAAGTCAAGGGTAATAAAGTAGAAACCACAATGGGGGCCCCCGTAGCTATCTGGTTTGAGTCTAACTGCAAAGCGGCTGTCCCCAAGTTAGCAAGTACCTGGTGCCTTTGGTCTTAGCTCATTCTGCCATCCCTGTTGGTACTTGGCACAGTCGAGGGCATAGGCTCAGCCTTGCCAGTTAGCAGAGGATAAGGGAGGCCTCATATTGAACTATTTGCACTTTTCTCTTGAAGATTTATTTATTTATTTATTTGAACTGTTTGCATTTCACTGCACTGAGATTTTAGTCCCCTCCTGGCAGGGTCTTGCTGCTCTGTCCTAGCTATTTATTAAGCACCTACTATGTGTCAGGCATTGTGCTGAGTGCTGGGGATACAGCAGTGATCACAACCGACAAGAACCCCTTCTTTCTAGGAGTTGAGCATCTGTGACCTGGGGCAAGGGTCTGGGCCAAGGCTGGAAGGGCGTAGGACAGTGGAGCATTGGCAGTCCTAGGGCAGCAGCCTGGGAATCTCCTAGAAGATCTTGGAGAGTGATGGTGAGCCATCTCAGTGGGGTCTCTGAGCCTCTGTGACAAGAGGGCAAAAACTCCTTTCCAGGCTATGGTTGGGGGGAGGCACTACACGCGGTTCAAGCTACATTTTTCTCTGGGCTATGGGGATCCCAGGCAGAAGCAACCAGGTAAGGGTAGTAGGAGCTGATAACACCTGCAAGCATGCCAAATTTCTGCTCCCACGTGGCCCAAGAGTATAGCATGCCTGGAACCTGGAAGCACCACAGAGACCACCTCGCTCTCCATTTAGCAGCTGTGAAAACTGAGACCCAGAGAAGGGGAGCTTTTGTCATGACTTAGAAGCAAATAAAACAAGGGACCTTGAAGGAGAGATGAGCTCATGCAGGTGCATGACCCATGCCCCTAGGCCTCACCTTTTTCTTTTTCCGTCCCATCCTCTCGGGGGCAGGAGTGTTTGGCCTTGTTTAACTTGGGGACCAGTACCTGATATTGGTGGGTGGTCAGGCATCGGGCCTGCCCAGACAGCTGGCCTGAGCACCTTGGAGTCTTTGGGGCTTGGCAAACAGTATGGACGTCAGTGTTGTGTCTGGGCTGCCGTACACTGGCTCTGGGACCTCGACAGGGGAAATGGGTGGGGGGGCTGGGCAGGTGGGGGCAGCCTGGAGCTTTCTCAGTAGTGAGACATTCTTCCAGTGGAGTTGTCCTCAGGGCCTGGAGCCATGACCAGCTGCGTAGGGGTCAGCAGCTGAAACAACTGGCTCTTGGTACCCCCAAG